TATAAAAGTTCAATTGTAAAAATATTTGCTTAATTGATTCATGTACGACACATACAATATTCAAAGAGAAGAAATATTTCTCTCATTTAAGTATGTGTAAGGTAGATGTTACTACAATTTTTGGTAGTGGTAATCTAATTGAAGGTTCTGGAAGAGCTAATATAACTCTGCCTAAGAGAACAATACTTATCATAGAGAACGCAATGTTCTCCTCCAAGTCCAAGAGGAACTTGTTGAGTTTTAAAGATATCTGTCGAAATGGATTTCATATTGAGACAATAGATGAGAATAATCTCGAATATCTCATCATTACCAAAAATGTCTCTGGCCAGAAAAGGGTTATTGAGAAGTTCACATCTTTATCTTGTGGCCTGTATTGGACAAGAATTAGTGCAACTGAGGCATATTCTATCGTAAACCAAAAGGTTACTGATTCCAATACTTTTGTACTTTGGAATGATCGATTGGGACATCTTGGATCAATTATGATGAAACGAATTATAGAAAACTCAAATGGGCATCCATTAAAGAATTTAAAGATTCTTTTAAATAATGATTTTTCTTGCACTTCTTGTTATCAAGGCAAGTTAATTATTAGACCATCACCAACAAAGGTTGGGATTGAGTCCCCTGCGTTCTTGGAACGTATACAAGGGGATATTTATGAACCTATTCACCCACTTAGTGGGTCGTTTAGATATTTTATGGTCTTAATAAATGCATCTTCTAGATGGTCTCATGTGTGCCTATTGTCATCTCGCAACCTGGCGTTTGCAAAACTAATGGCACAAATAATTTGATTACGGGCATAGTTTCTCGATAATCCAATTAAGTCTATTCGTCTTGATAATGCTGCTAAGTTATCATCCCAAGCATTTAATAATTATTGTTTATCAATTGGGATAAAAATAGAACATCCTGTAGCTCATGTTCACACTCAAAATGGCCTTGCAGAGTCTTTGATTAAACGTCTGCAATTGATAGCAAGACCGTTACTCATAAAAACGAGATTACCCACTTCTGTTTGGGGTCATGCCATTTTGCATGCAGCAATGCTAGTTCATCTTAGACCGACAAATTATCATAAATATTCCCCGTTGCAATTAGTTTTGGGTCATGAACCTAATATATCCCATTTAAGAATTTTTGGGTGCGCAATATATGTGCCTATAGTATAGCCATATCGTACCAAAATGGGTCCCCAAAGAAAGCTAGGAATATATGTTGGGTTTGAATCGCCCTCTATTATTCGCTACCTCGAAACATTAACGGGAGTTTTGTTCACTGCTCGATTTGCAGATTGTCGATTCGATGAAGTATTTTCCCAAAATTAGAGGGAGAAATTGGTGAAATCAAACGGGAAATTTCGTGAAAAAATTCATCATTGTCTCATCTTGATCCACGTGCCTCTATTTGTGAAAAAGAGGTGCAAAAAATTATCCATTCATAGAAAATAGCAAATCAAATGTCAGACGCATTTACGGATCTGTAACGAAATCACATATCCCCGCAAAGAATGTTTCAATCCGTATTGATGTCCCTGCTGGACAATCTTCTAGTGTCATACTAATGAGTCAAAAATACGCCTAAAGTGTGGCAGACCATTGGGTTCTAAGGATCGAAATCCTAGATAAAGGAAAATAAATGATCAATATGACACTACGAATGAGTCTCATAAAGAAATATGATTTAACCAATCCTGAAATTCATGAGGAAATCAATGAGCCTGAGACACAAGAAAATAAGGAACTATCAATAAACCCAATCGATATTGAGACAGATTTGAATCGATTGAATATAGTTGTGGATTATGTCTTTACATACAATGTTGCATCTAGCATTATGCAAGATAATGAGGATCTTGAACCTCAATCCGTTGGAGAATATTGACAAAGACGTGATTGGCCAAAATGGTAAGAAGCAATCCAATCTTAGTTGGATTCACTTGCGAAACGTGAAGTTTATGAATCTGTAGTCCAAACACCTAATGGTGTTAAACATGTTGGCTATAAATGGGTCTTTGTACGTAAAAGAAATGAGAAAAATGAGGTACAAAGATATAAGGCATGCCTTATTGCACAAGAATTTTCACAAAAACCTGGTGTCGATTATGAAGAGACGTATTCTCCTGTTATGGATGCTATAACGTTCCGTTATCTCATTAGTCTTGTTGTCCATGAAAAGATTGACATGTATTTAATGGATGTGGTTACAGCCTACCTTTATAGCTCACTTGATAATGTGATATACATGAAAATTCTCGAGGGATTTAAAATGCCTGATACACAAAATTCAAAGTCACGGAAAATATTTTCAATCAAATTGCAAAGATCTTTGTATGGTCTAAAGCAATCAGGAAGAATGTGGTATAACCTCCTTAATGAGTATTTATTGAAGAAAGATTATATAAATGATGTCATTTGTCCATTTATTTTTATAAAGAAAATAACATCGGAGTTTATTGTACTTGCTGTATATGTTGATGACATAAAACTTATTGGAACTCCTACAGAACTCCAAAAGGCAATTGATTATTTAAAGAAGGAATTCGAGATAAAAGATCTCGGAAAGACAAAATTATGTCTTGGTTTGCAAATTGAACATTTGGCAAACGAGACTTTTGTTCATTAATTTGCCTACATAGAAAAGGTATTGAAACAGTTTTACATGGATGGAGCACATCCATTAAGTACTCCGATGATTGTTCGATCACTTGATGTGAATAAGGACCCGTTCCGACCTCAAGAAAAGAATGAAGAACTTCTTGGTCCTGAAGTACCATATCTTAGTGCAATTGGTGCACTAATGTATCTTACTAACACTACAAGGCTTGACATAACTTTTTCAGTTAATGTCTTAGCAAGATATAGCTCTGCTCCTACAATGAGACATTGGAATGGAATTAAACACATATTGTGGTATCTAAAAGGGACTACCGATATGGGCTTATTTTATGGCAATGATTGCAGTACTGATCTTGTTGGTTATGTCGATGCTGGGTATTTATCTGACCCACATAAGGCTCGATCTCAAACTGGCTATGTGTTTACATGTGGAGGCACTACAATATCTTGGCGATCGACTAAGCAATCAATCATGGCTACTTCATCTAATCATGCTGGGATAATTGCTATTCATGAAGCAAGTCGAGAATGTGTATGGTTGAGGTCTATAATACACCTTATTCGAGACAAATGTGGTTTGAAGTGTGACAAATTACCCATAATTTTGTATGAAGACAATGCAGCATGCATGGCCCCACTAAAGGGAGGATTCATAAAAGGAGATAGGACAAAGCACATTTCACCAAAGTTATTTTTTACATATGATCTTCAAAAGAATGGTGATATCAATGTGCAACAGATCCGTTCAAGTGATAATATGGCTGATTTGTTCACCAAATCTCTACCGACGTCAACCTTCAAGAAACTAGTGTACAATATTGGGACGCGAAGGCTCAAGGATGTGAATTGATACTCTCATCAGGGGGAGTTAATACGCGGTGTACTCTTTTTTCTTACAAGATTTTGTCCCACTGGGTTTTCCTTGCAAGATTTTTAATGAGGTAACCAAAAAGCGTATTTCTAAACATGTGTACTATTTTTCCTTCACTAGGATTATTTTTTCTAATAAGGTTTTAACGAGGCACATTATCTATGGACATCCAAGGGGGAGTGCTATAAGAAATTATGGTGGATGTCTATCTTCCTCCATGATCTTTCTCTCAAATGCTTAATGACCTATTCAATGACATATTTCTTCATTTTTCATGCTTATATAAAGGCATTGTAATAGATGGAAAGAACATACAATTTGAAGAAGAAATAATAATCTCTCATCTCTTTCTCTCTATATCTCTTAGCTTGTTTTTTCTTGTCCTATATTGTTACTTTGAGCTATATTTCATAACATTAAGATTATATATAGTGTGGAAAATAAAATATGCGTATCAGCTCAGCATAAAGTCGCACGTCTATTCACTCTTTGACACGTTCAAAATAATTATTTTCGTTTAACATGTTCTTTAGTTTCTTTAATATTTACTTTTTATTAAGCTAATCTACTATAGTTAAGGTCATAAATTGACTTTTTGTTACATGTTGGAGGTGCTATTTGGTGCAGTTTAATTATGATAGAGACTAAGTTATGAAGCTTCCTACCAATCAACGATGTTCCCGTTGCCCAAGGCACCCACTACTCATTAATTCATTGAATCAATTGCTTCTTCTAATTAATGACATGTCTAAACGTTTGAATAAGTAACGTATAAATTTAAAATGGGTGGTAATAATGTAAGTCAATATATAAAATTCATCAAGTCAGTTATTGGACTAGACGAGATTAAAAAATACTATGAGTATTTTCTGAAAGCACAATGGAGAACGTGTAGAGTACTCAAATGTGTAGCTTACCACTCAATAAAATGGAATTGTCCTTTTTGCAAAAAAAAAATCGATGAAGGAGAACAAAAAAAATTAGTAAATAAAATATTAGAGATTATTGTAGAATCATTTTCTTCTATTCAAATTATAAATAGAAGATAATTTTGTCCCTTCTTGTGGTTTTGTATGTTGATGGGATAAAAAGTGCATATAACTAAATTTTTCGTTCTGCAAAACGTAAATATAAACATAAAATTGTGACTCTTAAAATAAAAAGCTTTGAAACAAATACGTTAAATTATTATATTCAAGGATAAAAGTGTATATAAATTTGAAAAAAAAATGAAAGCCGCATACCGAAAAACAAAAAAAAGATTTATTGTCTTAACATTTACAAGATCATTTAAAATTTAAAATATTAAACAAGAAAAATAAGGTGCTTTTGTTGAAAAAACTTATTTAAATATCCAAAAATGAGAAAAAATAAATACATCTAGAGATTTTCGTGGTACTTCACTAGTAGAGTAATAACACCATCTCCTCAATTTTACTAAAGTTTCTCCACCCTTAAAAAGAAAAAAAAGTAATTCCTAGAAACATGCCTATCCTTTCCAATAGATTTCATGGTTTATAAATAGTGAACCAAAAGTCTACTATACCATTCTTCTTTATTGAAGGAACGAAAGAAGAAATTCCCTCTGATCAACTTGTTCCTTCTCAATTCCTAAATTAAGTCTCTCTCCTCCGTCCACGACGGTGCACCACCAGTCCACCACCATGGTTCTATCCAAGGCCGCCTCGGAGAACGATGTCTCCGTTCATTCCACCTTCGCTTCTCGCTATGTCCGAGTTTCTCTTCCACGGTAAATTTTACTATATGTTCGCTTTATTTCACATAATATCTAAAAGATATTTCTTACCTAATAAATATTTTATATGTATATATATAAGTATTATTTTTGTACATATATATTAAATTTTGAATGTCTTTTTACATCCTTAACAAAGTTTCCTACTTGAACGAATAATATTATACTTATATATTTACTTTTTACATTTAAATCATATTACGACTATTTTTATATATATTAACAGATCATCACTTAATTATCATACCACAACCGTCTCTTTTATCTGCACTTATTAAAGATCGGTTACGCAAGTCCCATCTAATTAAAGTCTAAACCAAGTTGATTGATTGATCTTTTTTGCTTTTCCAGATTTTTTTTCTTGAATTTCTTTTGGACATTATTTTGTTTGTTGCGGTTTTAGGTTTCAGATGCCAGAGAATTCAATACCAAAGGAAGCAGCATATCAAATAATAAACGATGAGTTGATGTTGGATGGAAACCCAAGGCTGAATTTGGCGTCGTTTGTGACGACGTGGATGGAACCAGAGTGTGATAAGCTAATCATGGCTGCCATTAACAAAAACTATGTTGACATGGATGAATATCCTGTCACCACTGAGCTTCAGGCAAGTTTTATTACATAAGCTCGATATACTAAACTTCCGCTATTAAGTTAGTCTTACCTTGAAATTTTGCAAGAAGTTGTTTTTACGGCTTGAAACAACTTCCTGTAAAAAAAAATTTTCCTCATAAAAGACCGGCAAATAAAACACAGAAGATCATGTCCCCTCTCTCTATATATATGTCTAATTAATGTTTTCAATACCAAAATAGGAAAAAGAAACGTTACAATAGTTGTATAGTGACTCAAAATACAGGTGCTATCTATTTTAGAGTTAATTACACACAAGATCACTGAACACCTATAGTACATTATTTGTAGGAACATTATTAAACTATTTTTTTCTAACCACAAAATCACGCAACTTTTAGTAATAACAAGATGAAGGCTTGGTCAGAAATCATCATTTTTCATTTTAAAAAAAATGGTATTTAGGAAAAGTTGACCAACTTTGTGGTTAGAAAAATTAGTAGTGTGCAATTATCACTATAAGTTGACTGACCTTTTGTAGATTTAATCCTTTGCCTTCTGTTTTAAGATAATGTCTATTTTTCATAAAACAAATTCCACATTAAATAAGGGGTGATTTGGTAGGGTATATTCGAGAAAATAATATATGTATTAGTTTTAGTATTATTAATCCTTTGTTTGATACAATTTTTTTAACCTATGTATAGATAAAAGTATTTGTTATACACCTTATTTGGTATTATCCTATGTATAACTAATACATAGCAAACTATGGTATTAGCAATACCAAGACTATTAATACACACATAAGCATGGATAAAGATAAAATTGACCTTGAAGTCCCTCAATGCGAAAGAATGTAGAGGACATTTTTGTAAACAAATGAAAAATTATACAATGGATGTCATTTTTGATACAACACACTAAACAGTCATAAAAAATAATCTAAGCATAACTGATTCAAGCATAACTAATTCTCATATTACTAATCCCCGCAATACTAATACACCGTATCGGTACTAATCTTATACACCCTACCAAACAACCCCTAATTGTTAGTGGATAACAATGTTATCATAACATGGACGATTAAGATCATGATAATTTTAGGAGTTAACATGGTGGTACAATCTATGTTTAAATTGATCAAGTAATTCTTCTTCTAACATATAAGTTAATATTGTTTTTAATAAGCTAATTTATTTAATGCAGAATCGATGTGTAAACATGATAGCACATTTATTTAATGCACCATTGGGAGAGGAAGAGACTGCAGTTGGAGTTGGAACAGTTGGATCCTCAGAAGCCATAATGCTTGCTGGATTAGCATTTAAGAGAAAATGGCAAAACAAAATGAAAGCCCAAGGAAAACCCTATGATAAGCCCAATATTGTTACTGGGGCCAATGTCCAGGTATGCTTCCCATTGCAAGCCCATTGTTTTTTTACCTTACTCGCTGAATTAATCTAAATAGCCGCTTACTCAATTTTTAAATTAAAATTAGTCGGCAGATGTGTGTAATATGCATATAGTGGGTGCTTGGACATAAGAATTGTAAAATTCCAAAAAAACGTAATTTTTTTTAAAGTGAAAATGGTATTTGAAAATTAGAGTTGTGTTTTCATACATGAATTAGGTTATCATATCCGATTCGATATAAACCATGGCGGATCTACTCTATGGGTTATGGGTGCTTGAGCACAAGCACCCATTACTTTTAGAGCCAAACACTTTAATTTTACTTATATATAAAAAAAAAAAAACTAGTATTCGTATAAATACATTAACTGAGCACCCAGTCTGTTCAATAGGAATTTTCAGATTAAAAATAGTTGAGCACACACGATTTGATTGGACATGAATATAATTTTGGGTTGTTTTTGAAGTTTTGTGAGTGATTGAATAAAAATTTTGAAAAATAGATTTTTGGAGTTTTTAAAATTTTTGAAAAATTTAAAAATGCATTTTCAAGTGAAAATTAAAAAATTTATGACCAAACGCTGATTTCGGGAAAAAAAAAAATCGAAAAAAGTAAAAATTTTCTTATGTCCAAACAAGCTCATAATCATGTATAATTAGTGTATAATCTATGTATATCGATTATAAAAAGTAAACAAAGAATTCCGGCCGGCTATTTGTATAAATAATTGACTTTAAATGTGCTCGTAAATGACCAAGTTGCATAAAATGCTTGACTTTATATTGCAAGACCACAAAAATTGTTTCCCCTAAAGCTCAGCTCTACGAAGGTCTCCCAGAGATTGACCTTTCTGTGCATTAATGGTGTACAAATTATATACATCATCGCATTAAGTTGACTTATAATAGTAGAAAATTTCTTATATTCAGTGGCGGATCTCAAATTGTCAAATCGTGGGTGCTCAACTATTTTTAATCTAAAAATTCCTATTGAACAGACTGGGTGCTCAGTTAATATATTTATATGAATACTATTTTTTTTTTATATATAAGTAAAATTAAAGTGTTTGGCTCTAAAAGTAATGGGTGCTTATGCTCAAGCACCCATAACCCATAGAGTAGATCCGCCATGATTTATATCGAATCGGATATGATAACCTGAAAAATATAAAGTGGCCATCTATTATAGTTGGTTAAATTGCAGTAATAATATTAATTTCTTTTACGCCTTCAAGTATATAACTTAAATCCTTAATTTTATAGGTATGTTGGGAGAAATTTGCAAGGTATTTCGAAGTAGAGCTAAAGGAAGTAAAGTTAGAGGATGGGTACTACGTTATGGACCCTGAGAAAGCTGTAGAAATGGTGGATGAGAACACTATTTGTGTAGCTGCTATCTTGGGTTCCACCCTTAATGGAGAATTTGAAGATGTTAAACGTTTGAATGATCTCTTAGTCGAGAAGAACAAAGAAACTGGGTAATTCATCTCATCTCCTCTTCTCTTTAGGTCGGATTGATACTGTATGCCTCTGTTAGTTTAAATTTTAAACCCGTCTCTGACAAGTTACATGTTTTTACCATAAGAGATAATGGTAAAAAGTACATATACATTAGACCAAACAAATTACTTTATTAATTTAAAAATAATATTATATAGCCTCTCTCAAAATAATAATCAAAAAATATATTTTTTGTATATATAAACATTTATGTATGTTATATACAAATTTAATAAATTTTATGGCTATTGAATGTAAATAATTACTGTCTTAGACTAAAAGTGATCTTTGCCCCGCTAATCGGTATAACTTAGTACATAATTAACGTTCACATGCATGATTTCACTAAAATGAATTAACAATAAATTATACTTAGGCTTTATCAAGATTGTCGAATGAATTCATAATTCTGGATCTCGACGTATACAAAACTCTGTGCAGCAGTTGTCCTAGTGTTTAGCAAAAAGATGTTTCTCAAATCTGTCAATATAGGAATCTAACACTTTCATAGGAACTCTATGTGCAAATTAAATTGGTTATGCCTCATCGGATATAACTTGAAATATCATACGTATCGAATCTATGATTTAAATTTTTGCGTCCAAAATAATGTATGATCTTATTGTTTGTTTTATTTTGTATATGTGTACATAATTGGAATCAGAAATAATAAGTTTAGTTGAACTCACGAAACTCGCCCCAATTAATATTCGCATAGTATTTTCACATTCATGCTTGCCTAATATTTGATTGAAGGGGTGCCTTGGAGCAACAGTAAAGTTATCTTCATGTGACCTATAAGTTACGGGTTAGAGCCATGGAAGTAACCACTAACACCCATTGGGGTGCGACCCTTTCGTGAATCCTGCGTAAACGCGGAATGCTTTGTGCACCTAACTTGCCTAACATTTGATTATTATTAACAGGTGGGACACTCCAATTCATGTGGATGCAGCAAGTGGTGGATTCATTGCCCCATTCCTATATCCAGAACTTGAATGGGATTTCAGATTACCATTAGTAAAAAGTATTAATGTAAGTGGTCACAAATATGGTCTTGTTTATGCTGGTATTGGTTGGGTTATTTGGAGAAGCAAAGAAGATTTGCCTGAAGAGCTTATCTTCCATATTAATTATCTTGGTGCTGATCAACCAACCTTCACCCTTAACTTTTCTAAAGGTAAGCAAATTATAATCATTGGCGCCCTCTGGTTTACATTTTATTCAATGTACAACTAGCAAGACATAGGGTACAATACCGTAAAGCAAGCGTGGTGCTTTTGCGTGACAAAAACTAATTTTTCCAATATGGATTTAGTTATATAGTATAACAACTGTACAAAAAATATTTACACTATCTCGATAATTTAACTATTTTTAGTAGGCTACTTGAAAATCCTTCTTTTCTTGACGTTATCAATTGGCACTTATTATAGACTGTTAGTTGTATGAACTTTTATGTGACATGATAGTATAAAAGGACTTTCGTTGTTAGTACATAAAAGTTTAATTTTTTTTTTTCTTGACACAGGTTCTAGTCAAGTAATTGCTCAATATTATCAACTTATTCGCTTAGGCTATGAGGTAAGCTGAATACTAATGAGAAATAATCATTAAAAAGATACCCTTTAACCCCAAAATTGTTCGAATAATCTACCATTGTGAATTGTCTTATTTACCAGGGATATAGGAATATTATGGAGAATTGTCAAGAAAATGCTAGGGTACTCAAAGAAGGACTTGAAAAGACAGGAAAATTCAACATAGTTTCCAAAGAAATTGGAGTTCCATTAGTTGCATTCTCTCTCAAAGACAACAGTAGACACAACGAATTCGAGGTTTCGGACCATCTTAGGAGGTTCGGGTGGATTGTGCCAGCATACACAATGCCACCAAATGCTGAGCACGTGACCGTGCTCAGGGTTGTGATCCGAGAAGATTTCTCCCGGACACTAGCTGAGAGGCTCGTGGCGGACATTGAAAAAGTCCTCCATGAGCTCGACTCGCTCCCGGCCAGAGTCTCAGCTAAGTTGGCTGCGGCCGAGGAGAGTAGCAGTGGAGTGCATAAGAAATCGGCAATGGAAGTGCAATTGGAGATCACTAATGTATGGAAGAAGTTTGTTGCCGAAAAAAAGAAGACAAAAAATGTAATATGTTAAAAGAGTTTAAGAAGAACAAAGGGGACTTTGATTTTTCATTTGATTTCTTGGGCTTTTTGAGAGTTTTAGTACAAATGTAATTTTGAAGGAAGATGGAGTTTGATCTTCTTTTTTGTTTGGTGTAAAACTTTTGTTTTTGTGGTGGTGTTTTTATTGGCACCTTGTGATAATAATAATTTTTGAAGAATTTTTTTATTTATTATGTCTAAAACGTACTATTCTTTTTCTTTTAAGTGTTAACTTTCAAATAAGTAGTCTACCTAAAAATAGGTAAGTTTTCTTAGTAAAGACTTTGATAATGTTTCCATCTTGGATAGAAAAGCACAAATATAAATTTCTTAAATCTTTGTAAGTCAAATTCGTATAAAATGGGATGGAGGGAGTATTCTAAGAATAATCATGAAAAGGTTAGCCGTTTATCCTCAAAATTAGTCTAAATACATTGCATAATAAATTTTTGAAGAAATTTGAACCTTATGAAATTTATTGACTTTAACTTTACCATTTGAGTTTGTTTTCCATTGGCACCTTGATTGTCATTTAAATTTGGAAATTTTACTTCTTATAACAAAGCTTTACACCCTATTTATTATAAATAAAAATCCTTTTAAAATTGTCACGACTCAAAATTCCACCATAGGCGTCGTGATGGCACTCAGTCTCTAAGACTAGGTAAGCCGATTACAATTACGTTTCGAGCCATTTTTTTTTACATATAATGTAATACAAGTATCGAAATCAGAAGCGGAAACAAATATAACAACCTCCCAAGACTGGTAATACTGAATCACGAACTCTAACTGAATACATGCAATAATCTCAAAGATCGAATATACAATACTGTTCGAATAAGAGTTGACTATACAAAAAAAATGGAAAGACTCCAAGGGACTGCGACGACCAAGCAGCTTTACCTTGAATCCTTGCGATCAACACACTACCTTGTCGTAACACGGGTCTCAGGCCACTTTCATATTTCCATGGATCCTTGTGCCCATATTTTTATAAAACCGCACGGACAACTCATATGCCAATAATAAAATTATCATATTTTTTCAGCACCTCGTGCCCATATTTCTTTAATAACCGCTTGGACAACTCACGTGCCAATAATATAATCATTATATTTCTCTAGCACCTAATGCATGCATTTCATTTCACATCTACACGGATAGTTCACGTGCCAATAGCATAATCATTATATTTCTCTGGCACCTCGTACCCATATTTCATATCACATCTGCATGTACAGTTCACGTGCCAATAATATAATCCGCCCGGCAATAGCCACATGCTCACAATTTCAATATAGATCAGACTATTATCAAGTTTACTGAAACAACAAGATAAGTTGCACAAGATATAAAATAAACACAAGAAAAATCACAACATCACATGAAAATTTCCAACGTAATACCCAAATTATCACATAAAAATTACCAACACAATAACCCCACATCATCACATATCATCCCTTACAATAGTCACCATTATCTCTCCTATAGCCACACTTATCACTCATATAATAGCCTCCCTTATCCCTCTGCCCTGACAATATCAATAACCACCCTTATCGCTCCTATAGTCACCCTTACCGCTCCTATAGCCACCCATATCGCTCCGTTTAGTAGCCTCCCTTATCACTCCGCCCAGACAATATCCCAACACACATAACAACAGTGAAATGCCACCCTTATGCCCGCATAATGTCAACAATGGAATGTCACCCTTATACGCCGCATAACAGTAACCCAAATCACACAACAATTCATACAGAATATTATCACAACAGCACAACATCATCAACTCGTAGTTACAAATTGCCCGTAGGTCACAACCATCCCAAAGGTACAATAAAGTCAATTAATTTGACAACAGATAGTCCACGGCTCAACACAATGTATATAAAATCTCAAAAACAACCACATGGATGGGAAAATAACTCATCACAGGGCAACGCCTTCTTTAATCCAACTTTTTGATAAATATATAAACGCCTCAATTTAAACTTATTTAATTAATTATTTGCAGATGAAAAATCCATAATGTGATTATTTTCAAGAACTATCAAATCAATAACACACGGAATTTACATAAAAATCCAAGTGACAATAACACCAAATTATCATATAAAATACAAAATCGACAAATAAGGAATGAGGCATGACAAATCAAGGATTTACTAAATTTCAATAATTTTTCAATTTAATACATAAGGGCGTCTACGAATTTCAACCGATATAATTTGCACATATAAACCAAGTACGTACTCGTCACCTCGCGTACATAGTTTTCAATTACACAATTTCCACATAAGACTCAATGCCTAAGGGGTAATTAATCCAACTTTTTGATAAATATATAAACGCCTCAATTTAAACTTATTTAATTAATTATTTGCAGATGAAAAATCCATAATGTGATTATTTCCAAGAACTATCAAATCAACAACACACAGAATTCACATAAAAATCCAAGTGACAATAACACCAAATTATCATATAAAATACAAATTCGACAAATAAGGAATGAGGTATGACAAATCAAGGATTTACTAAATTCCAATAATTTTCCAATTTAATACATAAGGGCATCTACGAATTTCAACCGATATAACTTGCACATATAAACCAAGTACGTACTCGTCACCTCGCGTACATAGTTTTTAATTACACAATTTCTACATAAGATTCAATGCCTAAGGGGTAATTAATCCAACTTTTTGATAAATATATAAACGCCTCAATTTAAACTTATTTAATTAATTATTTGCAGATAAAAAGTCCATAATGTGATTATTTCCAAGACCTATCAAATCAACAATGCACGGAATTCACATAAAAATCCAAGTGACAATAACACCAAATTATCATATAAAATACAAATTCGTCAAATAAAGAATGAAGCATGACAAATCAAGGATTTACTAAGTTCCAACAATTTTTCAATTTAATACATAAGGGCGTCTACGAATTTCAACCAATATAATTTGCATAAATAAACCAAGTACGTACTCGTCATCTCGCGTACATAGTTTTCAATTACACAATTTCCACATAAGACTCAACGCCTAAGGGGTAATTTCCCCCACTCAAGGTTAGGCAAGATACTTACCTCATTTCACAACCAATTTTAAGATTTTAATAAACCTTTGCCTTGCAAATTCATGTTCGAAAGCTTTAAATCTAGTCACAAATAATTCAATATACTCAACACGAATCGTAGGAATTAATTCCATATGAATTTGCTAAATTTCACAATATAAATCCGAAATTAACTCAAAAATAATAGTGAGGCCCACATCTTAGAACCCGATAAAAGTTACAAAATATGAATACTTATTCAACCACGAGTCCAACCATACAAAAATTATCGAATTCCGACATCGGATTGACCTTCAAATCTTCATTTTACATTTTTGGAAGATTTTATAAAAATATAATTTTTCTTTCATAAATTCACGGATTCATGATATAAATGAGTATGAAATCATGAAACATAATCAATATAGGATAAGGAACACTTATCCCAATGTTTTTCCGTGAAAATCGCCCAAAAATCGCCTAAACCGAGCTCCCCAAACTAAAAAATGAGTAAAAATGGCAAAACTCCCCGTTTTATGGGTTTTTTATTGTTCGGGCGCCATAGGTGGCGTGGGGCGCTGCCTATGGTGCTGTGTCCAGAACTTTTAAACATCCCAGCGTCAGGGCTATCGCCCCACGCTAACCTGGGCGCTGACGGTGACGGAAAATCATTTCCGACACAGAAATGTGCATAACTCTCTCATACGATGTCCGAATTCGACGATTCTTTTTGCTATGGCTCCAAAATTTCAATACGGATCTAATGATTTAATCAAAACTGAATTTGGAGCTCATTTGTTTAATATGATATCACGTATTCTTGAAGAATCGATGTCGAAACATTCTAGGTTCGATGCCGAAACATAGCAAATCAAGTCCGATTGACCTCAAATTTTGCGCACAAGTCATAAATGACATAACAGACCTATCAAAATTTACATAACTGGATTCTGACCCTGATATCAATAAAGTCGACTCCCATTCAAACCTTCCATTTCCAACTTTCGCCATTTCAAGCCAAAATTAACTACGAACTTCCAAATAAATATCTGGACATACTCCTAAGTCCAAAATCATCATACAGAGCTATTGGAATCATAAAAATTCTATTTCGGAGTCGTTTGCTCAAAAGTCGACTCTCTGATCAACTCTTTTCTTTTAAGCTTCTTAATTAAGAATTGTTCTCCCAATTTGATCCCAAATCGTTCGAAAACCAAACTCAACCACACATGCAAGTCATAATACGTATTACGAAATTGTTCGGGACCTTAAGTCACTGTAGGGGAATAAATTCTTAAAAAGATAAGTCGGGTCGTTACAAAAATATTATTTTCTATAGCTACCTTTTAATTTTTATAGCAAAATATGTATTTATGGTCAATTCCTACCGTTAAACCATTAAACACACTGTATAATATTTCTCTTTCTCATTCTTTCAGTTTATTCTCTACCAAAATCACCGTATCTTATTTCTCTCTACACGATCTCTCTCACAGCGCCATTGTCTTCTCCATTGTTGAACCACAATTCTCCTTTATTTGCAGGTTCTCTCTCTAGATTGTTCTCAAACCCTAGATCTCGATTTGCTGGATTTCATCTCTGTTAACATGAGTTTCGAAATGTCTTGATCAAAGTTTCTGATATGAGTTATGTCACACCCCTTTTCTACCCCCAAGACGATAAAATGAGTTATGGATTGTGGATGGTGGGTTAAAGAGTTTCTCCAATTAAAGTGACAAACTTGAATAGAGATTATTTTATTTACAGAGTCGTCACTTGGAATTAATTTTTTGGGTGTTCCAAGTCACCTTTTGTTTGAATCCCTAGTCAAAGGAAGATTTGACTCTTTTATTATTGGTCTGCAAAACAAAGTCCGAGTAAGGAATTCTGTTGACCGGGGAGAAGGTGTAAGGCATTCCCCGAGTCCCGTGGTTCTAGCACGGTCGCTTTATTGACTAAAATTGGCTTGAATTAATTTTGGACAAACTGTGATTTATTGGTTTCCATGTTTTATCTATGTCCGCTTTTA